TTTTTTTGTCGGCTTTTTATTACGCCGACGAATGAAAATAAAATATCACAGTAGTAGCAACTGTTATCAAGTGACGTATGGTTTCCATAGCCAACTTTTCAATTTTTGGCTTGCATTTTGCTTCCACGGCCTACTCGGTGAATTTCAATAATAATTTTTTTCTGATCTAGTTTATGGTTAGATACCAACTTGTGATATGTCATTAGAAAGGGAATTGAATGCTGAAAATAACGAAAAGAAAAAAAAAATAGGGTTTCCATTTGAAATAAGGAAGTTGATGTTACCTCCGGTCAGACCGGAAGTTAACTTCGACATGTCAATATGCTCAAATTCTAGCTCTTATGTCATTATATCGACGCTCCAAATTTCACAAACCTACTTCATACAATAACTGAGATATTCTGTAGGCAATACTTCCGTAGCCACCCGGTGTATGGCTATATAAAAGTCAAGCAAGCCAACGTCAGTGCATTGTACCAGCATATCACCTGACGAAGCTACTGTGTTAGCAAAACATGTCGTGTGTTTGAGAATTTTGTGGAAATCTTATCGTTTGTGAAGTTTTTACATTTGCCATGGGTTATTCCATCAAGTAACGGCCGAGTCAATTAAAAAAAAACTAGAAAATATATTCTAGCTTCAATCCATTGTTTTCATATCCATTTTAAAAACAAGCATAGATTTCATCTAACAGGTGAAGAACATTAAATTTGAGCAGATCACACTTCATCTTCAATTCATTATAATTATTGGATTATTACGAGAATATAAAAAAAAAACAATCGTTTAATCATTGTTTTATTCTGATTTGAAATAACTCCTAATAATGACATTTCAATGCATATTTTGCATTATATTACCGAATACACTAAATAATGTTGAGGATTCGAATCCCATACCTACGATTATCTCCCTCATTTTCGGACTATATCGGAAAACGAACTAGTATCAAAAAATCCAAACCTGGAATTGTGAATTCTATACGGAGAGAAACAAAAATGGAGAGAAACAAAAATAGCGTGACCCAAAAATCGAGTTTGTACAAACAAATCACTTGGTATGTTGATGAAAGGAGATTGTTGATGACCTTGAGTACCACTTATGGAGATTATAAGTATTAGATTTAACACCCTGATTGATCAAAAATAACGATCACATTGTCAATTAATCAGTCACCTTGTATTGGATCACATCCTATCTATAAATTACTATCAGAGGTGCATAATACTCCATATTTGAATAATGAAGATTGAAATCAATTTTCTATCTACTGAGCTAAGTCTAATTACAGGTACAGTAATATGTATAGTAGGAAAGCAAACATCAAATCTCTGGCCGCCTTCTGGCCCAGTACATGATTGATCGACAGATTGTTGGCCATGGCCAATCTGCTCTTGTCAAACATCGGCCCATTGCATGGCATATTGTAATCGTTTGCATAATTCAGCCGGCACTGGGCTAATAGTGTCAATTCGTATTATGTTTCCACTTACGTCATACAATCGTCAATGTCTACCTATTATATGACATTGAAATTGTCTAACTATAATCTATAGCCGGTAAAGTCCAAATCAAGTATAATTATATTTCAGTTTCAAATTGAAACTTCAAGGAAAGGTTTTCAAGTGGTTAGTTGAAGGTTGAAGTGACCTCATGTTTATATTCACAAATTTTCTAAATCATTCAACACTTATTTACTCTATATCGAGAATCAGTCGGGAGAAATACATGAAAATATGCATGCTCATAATTCACAATACGTTCTCTCCATTTGAAATAATTTCAGCAATGCAGTGTTGCCGCTTCAATCAAAAAGTAGCGACAACTTTGTCATTTCAGATAGAATACCCTTCATTTCATTGCATTTTCAGATTCTCCCTGAAGAGCTGATTTTATCGATACATCCAACTTGGGGTCTATCGAAAATGATAACAGAGATATAGGGTGTTCAAAATCGTGATTTTTCAATTTTAGGATTTGTTTGTGTCGTAACTATTCATTATCGGCCGAAATGCCTCACATGTCCCTATCTCAACTTTTGATATACTATTTACTGATATTCAATCGGAACAGATACAGGGTATTCAGAATTCTGAATCTTGAACCACCCTGTATCTGTTCCGATGGAATATCAGTAAATAGTGAATCAAATGTTAAGATAGGGACATGTGAGCTGTTTTGACCGATAATGAATAGTTTCGATACAAAAAAAATCCTATAGTTGAAAAATCTCGATTTTGAACACCTTATATCTCTGTAATCTTTTTCGATAGATCCCAAGTGTGATGTTTCGATAAAATCAGCTTTCCAGGGAGAATCTGAAAATGCAATGAAACACAGGGTGTTCAATTTGAAATATCAATGTTGCTACTACTTTCTAGTAAAAGCGGCAACACTGCATTGTCGAAAATATTTCAAATGAAGAGAGCGTATTCTAAAATATAAGCATGCACATTTCCATGGATTTTTCCCGACTGATACTCGAAATAAAGATAGTGTAAGCTCGTCGTGACATACCCTGTATTGTTATTTGCAAACAGAATCGACCCAAATGCCATAGGAATAGTCACTTGTATTTAAGAAAGTATCAATATTATAGAATGAAAGCAAGTTGAATTCCATAAAACGTCTATTGTATTTAACGTTAGTCAATTCAAATTCAGAAATATTAGTCAGGAAGTATCAATAGCATTGCAGAATAGCATGTTGAATGTCAGGAAACGATTATTTTGCAAATAAAATAATGATAGAGAAATAGTCAATGAATATGATTGTGTTTCAGAATAGTCAGTACTATAAGCGTCAATGGGCGAGTGGACTGATAATGAATTATTGGCATTCAATTATTCCACTGTTTTCTTAGGGACCTTCTTAAAGAAACTTGAACACCCTATATCTTGAAAACGAAGCGTTTAAAAGTATATGTTCATAGGAAGTTCATTTATTATTTCAACGAGTACTATACGCTGTTAAATTTTCCGTACTAAAAAACGGACCACCCTGTATATCCGGGAAAAGAGTTCTCACTTTTTTCCAATGAGTAATTTATGAAAAGGGACATTTTATAACCTGTCAACAGGGATGAAATTTCAATCTTTTTTCCCGTCACAGACAATATAACTATTGCTATCAAAACATTAGGATTACATTTGCTAGCCTGGAATTCGAAACGACCACCTTACGATTAACCAATAAAAGCCAACTATTGAAAACCACAAAGAACTCGTGAACCCCGCCCCCCCCAGTCTAAGAACTGGGCGGAGGCGGCGACGTCAACAGACTGCTGACGTCGATCCCGCGCGGCGGACAGTTGCCGGGCGGCCATGGGAAAGGCGGCATGCCGCCCCACGGCGCGGGCAGTGTAGATGCCGAGGCGCCAGGCGGGGGCGGCTGGTTGGCCCACGGTGGCGGCATCATTTATAATATCACGAGAGCTTCAATTATTTCCGGAAATTTTTTCGAGAACACGAATATTTTCAAAATTTTCTGAATATTCGTGCTCGAGAAGAAATTCCCGGATATTAATTGAAGCTAAAGTAATATTCGTTGAGAAAAATTACATGTTGATGGTTGTTTGTGATGAAATGTAAGAACTAACGTATAGTAACCACATGTGTTTTTGTAAATAATTAGCAAGTATACCAACATAATATTATATGGTAAACTGTTGATAATAGTTATTTGTTTAACTAGGCAGCAAAGTAGTAGATTGACTGCCGAGGCTGAATTCATAGCCGAGCGTAGCGAGGCTAGGAATACAGCTTAGGCAGTCAATCTACTTTGCTGCCGAGTTGAACATATAATTTTTTCTCCGATTGTTCATTTATTTACATTACATTTACATTTATTACAATTCCCACAATCTCTTCATTTTTCCTGTAGTGTTCAATTAAAATAAAATTTGATAGAAATCGCAGTTGTTGGAATGGTTGGTTGCTATGGAAATGTCCATAATAATTATAGTTTGACAATTCATGAAATTCCTGACAGTTTTGCAAAAAAATATTGGTTTATTCAAATTATTATATAATGGACAGAGATAGCGACCTGGAAGTACTTACTCCTCCAGAAATAAGGGAGGTGGCAAAAAATATAGAGTTTCGGATGAAATATGAAGGAAATTATAAACGATTTATGTAATAATTGCTAATAAATGTTAACGTCAAATGTTTTCCTCCCATTGAGTATAATCACTTTGCTGCCTAGGCAGGAAAAGTAATACTTTGCTGATTGATATGTGTCAGCAAAATTAATATTTGCTGCCAATCGGAGAAAAATTATTTTTATTTATTGACTTATAGAATGAACTCGAAATAATCTGAAGTTGAATGTAAATGTCATTCAACCTATAAACGTCAAAAAATTTCCAGTGTAATTTCATGCTCCGTTCCTCAAGGGGGAGGAAAACTACTCCAAGAAATTTGTTTAGTTGCTATGGTCACGATACGAAATACAGGCTTTAAATTGATCGAAAATGTTTGGTGTGAAATTTTCAATGTAAAATTTGAACTTTTTAACAGGAATTACATTGCATTGCAGGTATCTTTATCATTCTTTTGATGTAATCAACTATTTGTCAGTCTGATTCTGTGATTTTATTTTGAAAAAATGCGAACTTACTATTTGTTTAGTAATTTCAGTATCCGCGAAGTGGAATGGAAGATAAAAGAACTTGCAGTTTTTTCTTGGAGACGGTGTTATTGGTTTATTTTTCGGAACTAGCACAACAGAAGCCATCAACAGTGTATAATATATATCCGGGAAAAAAGTTCTCACTTCTTTCTCGTGTAAAAAAAGTAATTTATGAAATGTGACATTTCATAACCTGTCATCGGGGATGAAATGTCAAACTTTTTTCCCGTCACAGACAAAATAACTATTGCTGTCGAAAAATTAGGATTACATTCGCTAGCATGGGATTAGAAACGACCACCCTACGATTAACCAATAAAAGCAAACTATTGAAAACCACAAAGAACTCGTGAACCCCGCCCCCCCGTCTAAGAACTGGGCGGGGGCGGAGGCGGCGACGTCAACAGACTGCTGACGTCGATCCCAGGCGGCGGAGGCGGCGGACAGTTGCCGGGCGGCCATGGAAAAGGCGGCATTCCGCCCCACGGCGCTGGCGGTGTAGATGCCGAGGCGCCAGGCGGGGGCGGCTGGTTTGCCCACGGTGGCGGCATCACCTGGGGCGGACTGGAGGCGCCCGGCGGCGGCGGAGGCGGCATCAGCCCGGGCGGTGCGGGCGGCCAGGGCATCGAAGGCGGACCGGCCGCCCAAGGGAGGGTCGGCATGCCCATCAGCGGCATCGGGGGGCCGGCCATCGGGGGCGCCATCAGCGGCCTCGGCGCCATTTGGCCGTCGAAGATGTTGAAACCTGTGGGATTAAGAGAGAAAATACTTGAGGGTGTTTTTGGATGTATAATATCGATAATCGGTAATATAACCCTTGTAAATATAACATTTCTATCTCTTCAAATAAAAAAACTACAGGCAGTTTCCTTGTATACGGAAATGTCCGAAGGCAATCATACATAGGAGTGAAGTCATAATTTTTGTCGGTTACTCAACCGAAAAGATACATATAATGATAAAGATGGAAAGCCCTAATTTCTAGTGACTTCGAGAATTGGAAGGATTCTGCCGCTTGGTGTGTGATGAGAACTCGACCTCCCTGCCGATTGATCGACGGATGACCCGTTAGCTCAATTGGCAGAGCGGGGACCGGTCAGTTGGACCACGAGTACCTGCATTAATCCTTTTTTGAAAAAGATTGAGTTAAGCCCACCCTGCAGTTCGACCAGGTTGCAATTTTATTTCCTGATCGATTTGATAGAATTATTCCAGTAACGTTCAAACGTTCTAAAGCATAATTATCCTTCATAAGTATCTAGTAAATTTAGTTTGTTTAAGAAGTGTAACTGCAACAAAAATGGATTTGAAGTGTATGATTAGTAAAAAAAGACACAAATTACTATTACTGAATAATTTTAAAATTTCTAAAGCTCATGTAGCAAAATGCGGAAAAATTCGTTGGCGGTGTGTTAACAGAAAGTGTTCTACTAAAATGTATACCGAGGAAGACGAAATAACTACCTTAGAAACATAATCACATGGAAGATAGTACTCTTAAAAGGCAACAGGTTAGCAATGCTTTGAAAAGGCAGGCGTTAGAAGATCTAACAGAAAGACCGTCCAAGCTAATTCACAAAGAATTCAAGATTTGTTCTTTTCATTATTATTACCACGCTTCATTCAACTTTATGATCATGTGTTATTGTGTTTTCGTGTTATACAAATTTGCATTTTCTCTGCTCTGTGAGTACAATATATATGGATGGAACATTTCAGTTTTGTACTAAATTTTTGTTTCAATTATTAACTGTTCATGCTTTTGAAAATGGCTATTATATACCTGTTGCATTTTGCTTATTACCAAACAAAAACAGCTCAAGTTATTTAAAATTATCTCAACTGTTAAATGAAAAATGGAAAACTTTGGATCTGATATTTGAACCATCAACGGTCATTGTTGATTTTGAACAGGCAATTCATAACGCTTGTTCAATAATGTGGCCGAATATAAAAATTATAGGATGTAGATTCCATTTGTGCTAATCGTGGTATCGTAAAATTTGAAATTTGGGCTTATTCACAGAATATCGGAACAAAACCTCAGAAATAGGCAATTGTCTAAAAATTATTTTTTGGATTTCCATTTTCAGACCCTCATGAAGTAGGAAACTTGTTTTCTGAAGAAATTCATTCAATAATGCCCATTATTTCAAGTTTATCGAAATTTTGCGATTACATCGTGGAAACTTATATCGATGAAGAAAGTAATTTTCCCCCAAGTATGTGGCTTGTACTACAAATAGTATGTGTAATTTTTATAGTTCTCACCCAAGTTTGTTTAATTTCGTAATCATTTTAATAAACTTTCAAGCAGAAACATATATTAAAATAAATTCCGTGAAATGTTCCACCAAAAAACTAAAAAGTGCAACACAGAAAAAAAATTATTCTATCAAAGCTAAGATATCAGAATATAGAAATGGCCTTTTATCACGAAAAGATTTTGTAAAAATTAGGTCTTATTATAATTCACCTCAATAGTAAATAATATAAAATATGTTAAGAAAATAGTGATTGTTTTAATTCTTAGAATACAACCTTAATCCGCTCGAAGAGCGGTCGTGGTCCAATTTATCGGTGTACTTGAAGCAGGTACCTGGCCCGTGGTCGAACTGTCCGACTCCCGGCAGAGCGTTGAGCATGTAACCCAGAGGTTGTGAGTTCAACTCTCACACGGGGCGGTGGAGTTTTTTCATTTTCCATTGTCACTCGAAATTAGGGCTTTCCATCTTTATCATTATATCCATTTTTTTATGTTCATTATATCTGAGAATATTCCTTTTCAATACTTTCACCCAATCAAGAGGTTCAAACTTGAACGATGGAAACTCGTTATTATTATAGACCTCAATCGCTGATTCGTGATAAGGTTTTCTCAATTCAGAATTTCTTTCCACTTCCTGTATGATGAATATCAATTTATCATACATCAAAAAACAAATGCCCAGATGACAGGTATATGTCAACAAATCATAATTTTCAGATTTCAGTTCGTTATAGTTTTAGTTATATTATTGGGAGATGAAAATTGTATATATCATGAAGAATGAAATGGAAGTTTCCAGCTCATCAAGATCAGAGTTTATACAATTATACTTCTCATAATCATTTCAATTTTCACGTCAATACTGAACATATTGGTAAGGTATATTTTTATATCATAATATATCATATTATTTTATCCTATTTGAGAGATGATGTCGCTCCTCAATTTCAAAGGATTTTCATTTTTCATAATCTCTTTTTGGATGTTCAACAGATATAATTCAATGTTCGACGTAGCAAATAGCCAGGAAAGTAGTTGTTTTCTGTTGAATATTCAGAATTATATTATATGCATATCTTTATATGAAGGAGAATGCAAATTCTCTACTTCAGAAGATTTTGTTCTCGAATTCTTATCGTGTATGTTCAATAGATGTAATTCAATGTTCGTCGTGGCATATAGCCAGGAAAGTAGTTGTTTTCTGTTGAATAAAACGAGAAAGAATTGATATTTTCATCACATAGAGAATGCGAAATCTTAATGTATTTTTTCATATACAGGGTGTTATTTAAGTATGTGGCCAAACTCCAAGGGGTGAATATTCAGGTGCTTCTAAGACAAAAAGTTAATATAAACATAGGTCCAAAAATGCTTCGTTTTCAAGATACAGGGCGCCAAAGTTTCAATGAAAAATCGTTTTTTTATTTATTACTCAAAATCCTGTTTTCCAATATGAGTGAAACTGGGCGATTTTGTTAACAATACAAGAAGCTTCTTTTGGTGTAGATTCGAAATAATGATTCCAGTGGCGTCGCAGTGGGGGTGACCTTTTCGATATTTATGGTAAGAAAGGTGCCCACGTCATAGTTTTTCATCAGTTTAAACAATTGAAAAGCTTTTGTGTTTCCTATTAAATTTTTGTATATCACTTAGTTTCTGAGGATATAATGGAAAATTTATTTGATTTCAAATTTCAATGTAGGTGCCCTCAAAACTCCCATTTGGGATTACCCAAATCTCAATGAGTATTATTCTGAAATTTTGAGACTTTTTCAGTCACCAGCCAGACTAAATTTTGCAATCATGAAAGCTCATAATCATGAAAAACAACAATGAATACTTTCAACTTCAGAACCCTGTATCTTGAAAACGAAGCATTTCAGGACCCAGGACCTATGTTTATATGAACTTCTCGTCTTAAAATCTTCCGAATAATCGTCCCTTGAAATTTGGCCACATACTTGAATAACACCCTGTATATATCCATTTTTTTTTTCATGTTCATAATTATATCTGAGAATATTCCTTTTCAATACTTAAGGGTGTGTTGATAATTACTCAGACATCCAAGTGGTATACAGGGTGTCCCAGAATAACGTTCGTATACTCCGGAAGGTCGATCTACAGATAAAAATAAGAAAAAATGTTCCTATCAACAGGTATCCGAAAATGCTTCCTAAGGGCGCTACAGCCCTTTGAAGGTTGGTCCTTAAATGCAGTTTTCTTCAATTATCTTTGTTACCATTGATCCTAGAATCATGAAATTTTGTACCAATAGGTAATTTGATCTCATAAATCGTTTGAAGGAATGGAAAAAATGATTTAATATACAGGGAGGTGCGAAACTTGTAACCCGTGCTATAAAAATGTCCCAATTTTTTTTGTCTCACACTGTATCTCCTTGCTAGTACCAGAATATGATTTTCCAAACACTTCTTGATGAAAAAGGTACTCTTGTTGGAATGCCGTAGAACGAACCGTTTTCAAGAAAACTATAATTTTCATTCTGATGTCCTAAAGAATTCACTTGCTGAATGAGTTTGTCAAATTTCGCTTTTCGTTTGGGATAACTACTGTTACCAGACAAAATCATAAACTGAGCAAAATTAGGCTATGGAATTGCACACATTTAATTTCGAAGTACCTTGGCGATTGAAAAAACCAAGTAGGCTTGCTTCAGTTAGGCACACATGTCAAAAGTTTAAATAGCACTAATTAGATACTTATTGCACTAAGTTTTCAAATTAGCACCTTAAAATGGAAGCATACACTTTTGCGGAAATGGCTGATATGTATTTATTTTATGGCAAAGCCAATGGTAATGCACGTGAAACGCGAAAACTCTACCAAGAATCATTCCTGAACCGGACGATTCCTTGCGGAAAAACTTTCATTAATCTGCACCAATGTCTCTGTGAAAAAGGATCTTTCAAACCGGAAAAAAGAAACTGTGGTCAACATCGCACTACTCGGAGTGCTGAAACGGAGGAGCGAGTATTGGATTTGATTGCAGGAGACTTAGTGTAAGGAGAATTTCTACCCAAGAAGGTATCTCAAGTTCAGTATGGAGAATTATTCATGAATAATTACTCTACCCTATCCATGTGCAGAGAGTTCAAGCTCTCAAACCTCAAGATCTAGCGTCCAGGTTACAATACTGCAATTGGTTGTGTGATAATTGTCTTCAAAACACAACTTTTCTGGAAAGTATCCTTTTTACCGATGAGGCAGGGTTCACCAGAGATGGAGTATCCAATTTTCACAATACTCATATACACATACGGTTTTTGAATCAAATCAACAAGAAAAATTTTCTATCAATGTATGGGCAGGAATAATCCATAACTATTTGATAGGTCCCTACGAACTGCCTAATCGTTTAAATGGTGAGAGTTATTTAGATTTTTTACATGTTCTGAGAGATCTCATGGATGATGTACCATATTTACTGAGGTCTGAGATGTAGTTTATGCACG